CCGTTCCCAGGCTTGAGGCTGAGCGTGTCCTTCAGCGCTTCCCGGGCTCCGCTCTGGAGGCCCCAGCACTTTGCAGATTTGAATTCTGTGCTCTTCAGAGCGAGCTCGGTGTTTCTGAAGACCCTAATCCAGCAACAATTGCACAGTCAAAACTCCTTTTGAAATCATTGTCACGTTGGGTTCTTGTAAGTCCTTGTTTACAAGAGCATTTCCATTGACTTCAGTAGCATTGCTTGGGTGAATAGAGGTCTGCAGGAGAAGGGCCTCGCAACGATGTGCTGCCTGGATGGGTTTTACACCCGCGTGTTAATTTTGTAACTGCAGAAACACGGACGCGACACGTATGCAACTCTATGTATGTGCAATGTAATTTCAAAAGCGTTTTTAGAAGTACTTACTCTCTTTTGATCTTTTCTTCCTTGACCGCTGCTGGTTTCGGTGACCTTCACCTTGTTGCTGTGTCCCAGCAGAAGGCGCAGCCCGGTGACGTTAAACCCCGCGTAGGCCCACGTCTGCTCGCCCGCTTTGGGATGGCATCGTGGCGTCAGCCAGGGCGAGCGGCACGCGCCCTCCCGGCACGGACGAGGGATGCTCGGTGTTTTAAACGCGCGAGACCGAAGACTCGTGCAAACCCCGCGCGTAAGACCGTTCGCTAGGAAAAAGGTACGAGGCAGATATTGTAAGTATGATTCCTCTTGAGCTGATCCACGTGAAGGAGAGATTTTTGAAGGCTAATCAAAGTGGCTTTAACATGCCGTGAGTTTCCAGCATGCAAACAAAACTCCGCTTTTGGCCCAAACCCATTGCGCGCCGTCCCACCGCGCTGTCACTGGGTGATGCTCCGCTCTGCCCTTTCCTGTCGTCTCCGGTCACCGCTGGTATCTATTTACTCAGGCCTCTGCTTGGGGAACGGTAGGGGATTTGTAAAGATCTGTATCCCAGGAGTAAGAATGTACTTAAATTACCATTTGTAGACAAATGTTGTATATTATTTTAATATGTGTATGTCTACCCAGATGCTGAGCGATGGGTACACGATACAAATCTATAAATAAATATAATTTAAAAATATCAGTGGTGATTTACATACTTTTGCCATCCTAGGAAGTGGCAGATATTGCAGTGTGCTCTCAGGAACGATTCCTTTTGCCGCAGTCTGGATTTTTTTCCCTGAACAAGAGTGTTGTATTTAAGCTTTGCATGTTCTTACGATATTAAATACAAGCAACTGCAGTCTCCCTTTCTGTTACTATGCCTAGCAGATAAATTCACATATATTAAGATTCAGCAATTGATACATATCCTTAAATGCTGCCGGTGCTGTTGAGTTGGGAACGGGGATGTGCGATGCTGGAGCAGGTTCCGGAAGGTTTTTTTTTATTTGTGTCTGCCATGGCACCGGGGGTGCTCAGGTTCCTCACGCCAACAAAACATCCATGAAGTTATAAACCAAATTAATGGGACCGTTAAAAATACATTTTGATTCTAAATCCTTCTTTGATTGCTATCTCCTGTTTCTTTTTCAATAGCGTTTGTGGCGCTTTTAGCTGTAGAGCACGGGGTCGTGCTTAGAAAGCGGAGTTTGTTGTTGTCTGGAGAGTTTTTCACTCTTTCAACGCAGCGTCGTAAGGCAGGAATTGAAGGGTGACTGCGGCCTTACAGCTAGCTGACCTTCAGCCTAACAAACCTCTGTTCCTGGGATTACTGTCACTGGAAGGGTAAGGGTACTCCCAGGCGACTGATTTTCCTGCAGCGTGGGTACCGCTTGGGCGTGGGATGGCTGTGCGTGATGCACGTAGCTGGGTTTGT